ACCCGCAGACGGACAAAGGCCGTCGGGCGGGTGTGCTGTCCCCGCGTCCTGCGCACGTGCGGGTGGGCCGCGTGGGGTGGGCAGCGGGCACCTCCAGGGCTGCCCAAGGCTCCCGCGCCCCTCGGTGCCCTTTGCGACCAGCGGCCCCGGTGAGCGGCCGCCGTGGGCCGGGCCGCGGCCTGGCGGCGGGTCGCTGAGTACGTGTTGCGCATCCGAGTTCCGTGCTGGGTGCCTCGACCCGAACGAGAGCGACATTGAGGGGACCAGACGAAGTCTGTGTCGAGATGGCACAGCTAGGAGCAGAGTCGGTGGCGACGCTCTCCTCGTGATTTGTCCCTTGACTATCAAATTCGGGGGGAAAAATGTTTGGGGTTAGAATGTTCTGGATTTTCTCAGATTTTCAGTGAAAGAACACACACATGCCCGCGTGTAATAAAAGGTCGGCTTGACTCCCAAAGTTGGGCATTTAAAAGGAACTTTTTCGCATTTCTCAGAGGAATCGTGGGTAAGTCACGCCAAACCCCCCGGGTTCGGGATGGTCCGGCCTGGCACGCGTGTGAGTGCACAGAGGGACTGCTGTTGCACAAGTCTCGGGGGTAAACTTGTGGCGTTGGCAGCCCTGCGCTGCTGGTGGTGTCAGGCTGGCCTACCTGTCAGGCAGGGAGGGTCAGGAATGGCTTTACCTGTCAGCACTGCTTCCGCTGTGCCTTTCAGCTGGTCCCAAGTGTGTGTGCTCACACCCCATCCTTCCCTCTTGTCACCTAGAGAGGGGCCCACACGTTTGGGTGGCTCTTACTGCTTTTGGTGCCTGGTTCCCCTACTGAGTCCCCCTGTCACATGCCATATCGATACCTTTGAACCTGTATTTCAGCCTCCTGTCCAGCTGAGTAAAATACACTTTGGAGACATGTGGATTTTTCTGTTTTAAATATTTATGTGCAGTAGTCAGCGGGTGCATTCTCAGCATCGTTTGGGGAGGTGAAAGGCTGGGTCAATGCTAGCTGTGTGCTTTATTTATAGAACAATAGATTTTGGCAAAGTTTTCTCAGGTCTAGGAGCTGTGCCAAAAAGCCAGCCCATCAGCCACCCTTACACAGGCATCAAAGAGTAGATACTTTAAAATTTTTCGTCCTTTGGTCTCAGGCTTTGCCAGACAGCTCTGTGCTTTCCGAAGCTGGGTTCAGACAGTCACGTTGTGGAACAGTTGTCACCAAAGTCACTCACAGAGATATAAGTTTTGTGGGAACCCTGCTTGCTTATCCTCCACTGCGACCTTTGGGCCTCACCTCGCGCTGGGTGCACCAGTGCCTCCGGTCCCAGAGCAGTCCGTCCTCAGTCTCCCACGTGTGTCCTCTCGAGACCGTCGGGCTGTGGCTCACGCCCCCCTTCTGTGCACCCACATGGCCCGGCGCCGGGTGCACTGGGGCTTACTTGGGTGGCCCGAGCACTCCCAGTCTTTCCCATCCGCATTGGCTCTCGCCCACGTGGTGGTCCTTGCAGGCTCCAGTGATCCCCTTCTGGAATGGGAGGTGGTCTTGCTGGCCTGAGTAAGATGGGCTGGAAGGGCGGGGTGCAGGAGCCCGCCGTGGACCGCAGTGACCGGCAGATGGCAGGCCCGGCGAGCCGGGGATGCATGGAGTCGTCTGTACCATAGTCTTACTGTTCGTTTAGGCCACTAATTAGGCATCACTTAAGGAACTGAGTTCCCATCTTGCAAATCGGGACGTCCTGCGTATTCTAGTGTGATTACAATGGAAATTGTTTCTACCCCCGTCGCTTTGCCAGTGGTCAGGGCGCTCTTGACTCCTGCAGGTAGGTTCACCCATGTGGGGGCTGGTGTTTAGGGGCTTGGATTTCCACCTGTGACTTTCTGTGCCTCCAGATGGTCGAGACTAGGAGGGGAGGCTGGCCTTCAGCTTGCACAGTGCCTCGTGGAACAGGAGAGCCCAGACGTGGCCCGTCTTCTCCGTGGCCTGCAGCGCTGACACGGGCTTGTGGCACTGCCCTGCTGGGTCATTCCAGCCCTTCCCCATATTGCGCCTTCACGGCGGGCAGTATCTCAGGGCCGTGTCTCCAGGGCCTGGGCTTCAGAAAGGGCGTCCTGGACTTGGGCCGTCATGGACCCCAGAAGGTGTCTTGATCCTCAGCCATCCTCCCTAAGAGTGACAGATCGCAGAGGCTCTTGGGGCCGCAGCGGCCACCTGCGGCACACACTTGAGCAGAAGGTTGCTTGTGGCTGGTATTGTGCGTGCGTGTGAGGCGGAGCCTTCTCTCCCCCCGGCCTCCGTCCGCTCTCGCTTCCACGGCGTCAGCCCTACGTGTCTTGTGAACAGTGGAAACCAGAAGTCCTTTCTGCTTTATACGTATGATGCCCTCTGAAGACAAAGGGAGAGCCAGTGTCCCTAATGCAGGCCTTGGTGGAAGAGCCTGTGTGGGCCGGCCACAGGAGCAGCCAGTGGCCTTGAAGCTCGGCCAGGGTTCAGGGCCGCCTGCGGGGCGCATGTGAGCCCCCACCTTGTTCTCAGGGAGCTCTGCTCTCGGCCAGGACCCCCTCCTTCCCGATGGGTCAGAGTGGAGGTTTTCTTCCCACCAGCTCTTGGCATTTGTGCCTGGTGCTGTCGCTCCATCAGTCTACCAGAGGACAGTCTGCCGGCCTGTCACCCAGAGGGACTGTGCTGTCTGACTTTGTGACGTGCACAAACACCTTTTTTGGGCACTAAAGCCAAGGAATCGCCCTTTTTGATTTTCACGCTTTCCCCTCGCCGCCTTGCGCTGCCTCTCAGCAGCACCCGGGGTGTCGGACACGCTGCAGGGGTTCCAGCGTGGTGGCTGTCCGGCCCGGAGAGGAGCAGTCGCCTGCCCTCGCTCAGCTCTAGTCATCTGCCTGCATTCTTTAGGGTGGTGGCTTGAGCTGACAAGTCATGACACTGCATCAGCTGCCTTGTCACCAGTTGCCCTGTGGTGACCTTTGCCCTGCTATTCCGAGGCCTCTCCCTGTTTTCTTTGTGGATATCACTCCTCAGTGGCAAATTACCTTCCTGTTCCAGGACAAGGTCAAGCTTGGGGTCACTTAATTTACCATCTGCCTCTTCCGCCCCACTTGAGAGACATAGTTTTGTTTTCCTGGGACCAGCAGGGAGCTGAGTCTGCGCACAGACCACCATCTGGCTGGGCTGAGCTGCGCGGGGTGGAGTTTGTGTGGCAGATGAAGCACCTTCGTGGCCACAGACCCTGTGCAGGAACACTTACCTGCCACTTGGTTCTGGCTTGTTCTGAATCTGGAACCAGACCTCAGCGGTGCCTTCTAAATGTCTGTCCTCATCTAGAAGTACTCCTAAAAGTCACCTGTGCTGAAGCACCAGCTTTTGTAATTTCCAATTCAATGCCGACCAGCGCTTTTGCAAAATAATATTAAAACGTAGCAACAATGTCATGTTGCTGTCAAAGCTCCTTGGGGCCTCCTCACTGGGCTGTATTTGTCCCTGCCTGGACCACGGCAGTTCAAGGATTGGGCTTGGAGCAGCACTGTCCCTGGAGCATGAGGCCTCTGTCAGCTGGGGGGAGTGAGACAAGACTGTGGGGCTGCAGACTGGTGAACCTCAGTCTTGCTCTGTGGCCTCTGATATTTGCTTTCCCCAGAATGCAGGGATCCTCCCACTCTGCTGCTTGGCACTCCCCCTAGGGGGTGAGGGCCTCCCAGGGGCGGGGCCTGCAGCCTGTGCTATGCTCAGGTGTGTGTGGCAGACGGTCCATAACCAGCCTGTTCTCGCATCATCAGACTCAGGGCGACCTTCACGTCTCTGACCCCGGGGGAGCCCGGCTCTGTGGCAGGCGTGACCCTGGGGGAGCCCGGCTCTGCGGCAGGCGTGACCCAGGGGAGCCTGGCTTTGTTCCTGGTGTGACCCCGGGGAAGCCTGGCTCTGTGGCAGGTGTGACCCCGGGGGAGCCCTGCTCTGTGGCGGGTGTGACCCCAGGGGAGCCCAGCTGTGTTCCTCGTGTGACCCCGGGGGAGGCTGGCACCACAATAGGAGGATTCATATTGTGTTGCAGAGTTGCCTGGGGTCATTTCTCTCGCAGACGGTCCCTTTTGCAGGGGTCACTGTTCTACATTGGCTTTCTGGGCCACAGTGGAGTTTAGCTAGACATGTGCTCTGCATTGTCAAAAGTGCTAGTCCCGGTGGTGTTCCCAGGCCGTCTTCGAGGACCTGTGGCCTGGCCGGGGTGGCAGTGTGGACACAGTTGGAAGATCAGCGGGGCTCCTGCGGAGGCTGTACAGCTCAGCTTTGGGCCGAGCGGAGTTGCCGATGTAACCATTGGATGAGTCACCGGCCTCTCCTGGGCTGGCGAGTGCAGCTCAGAGTCCAGGTCTTCGCAGGAAGTCGGAGCTCGTTTTTCACTTGCACAATAAATTTTGCGGTGAAGACGCCTCTCTTGTAACTGGATAGATTGTCCTGGCCGCAGGAAGAACAGAGCATGTTACCTGTCTGTCTTGGGGCTGGAGGCAGTGAAGCTCTAAACCCCAGAGTGGTCGCTGGCAGGACCGGATGGTGGCTTTTCCCACGGAACACGACACTGGGGGCTGGTTTGGGTCCCAGGCTCGCTAGAATCTCCTGCATTTCATGCAGCTGTCTGAGCAGACAGAGGAGGCTGTTTTCTCTGGGGTTCTTGGCCATATACTGCATGTGGACACGAACAGGCTGCTCGTTCTGCTGCCTGATGACCTTGCTCTGCCTCTCGTTTGGGCATCTTGAAGTGTGTTGTGACCACCCACCTGTTCTTCACGGCCCCCTCACGAGACACACGGCAGAGCTCCCAGCTTGTCTTTGATGGCGAGGGGAACCGAGTCACCGAGAACTGGCCCAGCCCTGCAGTTTCCCAGGGAAGAGAACGTCCCTGGCCCTTTCCGGGCTGCTGGGGCCAGCGTGATGCTTTCTTCTGCTGGGGACGAGGCGTCGGGGAGGACTAGTGCCTGTGCTTGGCGGACCCCAGGGGAGAGCCCGCAGGGGCTCGGTGCGCGCCCGCGCAGCATCTTTCTGTTCCAGTCCTGCGGTCAGCTCCCGGGAACGCCGTGCAGGCAGCACTGGGTCAGGTGGGGACGCAGGAGCACTTGTGTGTGGAGCCTGGACGGTGTTGGCTGTCACGTTGCAGTTTTCGAGTGGAGTAAAGCAGAGATACAGCATTTTTAGACAGAAACTCTAATTTTGCCTTTAAACTCATGGCTGATGATCGGGAGGTATCAGCAGATGTGCTGCCAGTTTTAGCACAAAACTTAACAAAAGTCATGTGACAGGTACATACATGTCACATTAGTAAGCGTCAGTAAGAAACGCACAGGCGGTCCTGTCGCCCAGGAAGGAAGAGGCTGGCCGAGCCCCCCTGGGCGTCGCTTGGCCTGGCCCGCGATGGGTTAGCGATGACCGCTGCCGCCTGTGGCAGTCAAGCCCACTGGGGAAGCACCTGACCGCTGAGACCTGTGTGTGGCTCCACCCTCCAGGCTGGGTGGACAGAGGCCCTCCCCCTAGGGAGAGGCCCCTCAGGGCAGCGCGGGGAATGGGGCCCACTCGTAAGTATCCGGGAACACGCAGCCGCACTGGGGCCGGCAGCAGGGTGGGTAGGGAGGTTCAGACCTGAAGAGACGGGAGGCCAGTCTCCGGGTGCCCTGGCGACGTCATCCGCGTGGGCACGGGGGGAAGCGGTGGTGGGACGCCACTCTAGATCTTTCTGTGCGCATCAAATACGTGCTGTTTTCAAAAGTGAAATGAAGATGACTTTCGTGGGGATTGCCGACCCCTGACACCGTCTCATGCCGGGGGTGGAGGGCGTCTGTCATCCGGTCCTTGGTAGACTCGGGCAGCCTCCTGCTCCTCAGCGTGTCGTGACACTGAGTTAGGTGGTGGACACCAGATGACTAACGCTTACGACTCTCTCTGCCCAGGTACGGACATCGCTGCAGGAGAAGAAGTCGCCATCAAGCTCGAATGTGTCAAAACCAAACACCCTCAGCTCCACATCGAGAGCAAGATCTACAAGATGATGCAGGGAGGAGGTACGGCCTTGACCTTGACCTGGCGGGGGTACCTGCTGTGTCTGCGGGGGGCGGGGGGGTGTCCACCTGCTTCCTGTGGGGGAGGGGAAGGCACTGCCCAGGCCCCCGCCCCTCGGCTCCTCAGAGCCTGTCCGGAGGCCTGCAGAGGGCCTCACGCCCCCAAGAAATGTAAATTTACGCTTTTTATTTACACACCACCTTCCTTAGCTCCATCTTATGCAGCAGCACCTTGAACTTGGGGTTTGTGTGGACTCGGATTTTCCAGCTCTGCCAGTGGTCCTGTGTGCCACTTGGGCCACCTGCTTCGCTCACAGCTCTGGGGCAGCCCTTCAGTCTTTTCTGAATGGAGCAGGCGGTTTGAACTCAGCCCTGTCTGCGACCCCTTCCAGCTCATTCACTGTCCCATTTCTGTACCACATCCTCCTCTCAGGCCTAAGGGTGCCTGCGGGTGCCTCTCCCGACCGCAGGATCAGCTTCTAGAGTTCTCTGGACTTGAAAATACTTTCTCTAAGGGAGCAGGAGGGAGTTTTGTTGGGGGTCTTGGAGGCGTGAAGACCCTGCAGTGCGACGGCAGGCAAGTTTGTGCCACTCCTGAGCGCTGGGGCTTCCTGGGAATGGGGGCCACGCCGCCGCCTCCTTGGCGCCCTGTTGGGAGCCCTGCGGCCTTTCCCGGCCACGAAGAGCTTGTCTTCAGAGTCCCGACGTCTTTCCTGCACGAGCGCGAGGCGTCTGTGCCGCTGCGGGGAGCCAGCGCTCCTCGGCTGCTGCAGCGTGCGTGTCTCTGGCAGCAGATGCGCCTGGAGGCAACGCAGACGGTCCCGCGGGACCCTTGCGGAGGCGCGTCCAGTACATCCCGTCCTGCATTTTGTGGGACCAGAGAGGCCATGGAATGGCACACGGGGTGAAAACGTCCCAGCCCGTGTTGTCCCCAGGGAGAGGTCCGCGGAGCTTGCCCTGCGGTGGCCCTCAGCACGAGGCAGGCTTCTCGGACACAGCTCTTAAGGTGGAGACAAACAGAGTGAGGTGACTCGGATGTGGCCTTCATGGAGGAGCTTGGTGCTGAGGTTGAGTAAAGCCTCCCCAGCTTACAAGCTGTGTTGAGTTATGAGAAGCAGCGTCTGAGAACTGAAGCTGGGGCACCCAAGGCAGAGCGGGCAGGGAGCCAGCCTCCCCCCAACCTCCCCCGACCCCCGGAGGGCGCTGGCAAGGCAGACTAGGCCATTCGCTGTGTGGACTGCTCTCTGCACAGAGCATGGTGCCAGGAGCACCCTGCCCCAGGCGGGAGGCTCGGAGCCGTGTCGATGCCGCCGACTGCCCGTGCACGGCGCCCGGCGCCCAGCCCCCGGCCCCCGCTCCAGCTCCCGCATGGAACAGCACCTTTTCCTGGTCTTCCTGTGGGAAACCTCCTCCCCCGTCTGGCCGCCCCGCACACGCGGATCTGTGCTCCCCCATCAGGCGCTCGCTGGTGGGCGCTAGTAGGACGCGAGGGTCTGTAGGTTGGGGAACAGATGGTGCCCGCTAGAGCGGAGCGTACCCCGGCCAGGACTGCGCTGTGGCCAGCAGGGAGGGCGTAGAGGTCCGCTGCGCCAGGGAGCCCCGGCTTCGCCACCCGCCCGCTTCTGTATCCCATCTCCCGTGGGGGTGCGGGCCGCTCGGTCGCTGTCGAGGGCCAGCCAGCAGCTCGGGCTCCTCTCTTTCTGCCAAGTTCTGGGCTTACTTGCCGGTGGCAGATGCCGATTGTGGAAGAAAGCTCAAAGTCTGGTACCTCGCACTGTTTAGCTTGTGACACAGGGTCACCCGGGCCACCGCCCAGGTGATGGTGGCATTGTCATGCCTGGTGCAAGAGAGAACTATCCTTAGTCCCAGGGGAGGAGTTAGTGTCAAGTGTTGTGAAGGCGTCTTTCCACACATAGGTGCATTCGCTGCCACGATAGTCCTGTGCGTAGGTGTTGTCAGTCTCCTGTCCTGAAGGGGGAAACTGAGGCAGTGGTGCCTGTAAAACTTCTCAAAGGACACAGATCTATACCTGCACGTTACAGCTCCCAGGTCACTGCCACACAGCAGTTGCGTGCTCCCAGTGGACGGGGCCTGAATGCTCGGTTTGCCACCGTCTCCGAGGACCAGGAGCCCCTTACTCTCGCCACGTGTGCCTCTGACACCATGGTGACAAGACGCGGATGTTCACCCGTCCCACACCGTGTCTCCTCCACGCGGGCCCTTTGGCTTCATGAAAATGCAAGTGTGTGGGAGGGTGCGGGCTTCCTGTGCTGCCTGGCCATCCCCGTGTCCTCAGCCAGCTCTGCCTCGGAGCCACGTGTGCTCTTGGCGTGTGCTCCCAGAGGAGCCTCTAGGGCACAGCTGCGTGTGGTGTGTGCCGGGCGGTGGGCAGGGGCTTGGCTTGTAGGGGGTGCGTGCCAGGGCGGTCGCCCAGGTTTGCCCCCTATCCCCGCACAGATCAGCCTGGCTGTGACTCCTCAGCATGCCTGGGCTGTCCTGGCTAGCACAGAGGCCAAGGTGCGGATTGAAAGCATAAGGATGGAAAAGGAAGAAATGAAACTTACTAGAATGTGATCTAATTTCCTATCCAGGAAGCCCAGAAGTACAGCGGGGAGAGCTGGCTCAAGGTCAGAATAGAAAGTCAGTTCATCTCTTTATACCAACAACAGTCAGTTACAAATGTAATTCTTTTTTCCCTTTTAGTACCAATAACTTTTATTCATTGTATTTTCCCAGGAAAAGGGAAGGGAAGGGAAAAGGGTCAGTGCGTGTTCCACAGTGACAACGCATGGGAAGGAAGTGCCAGCCCGCAAGGCGAAGCATCCGACTACCACGCCAGGCATGGGGCACTGAGGGCCGGGGGGCTCCGTCTCCGTGATTCACAATGATGGGGAGGGATCTGGGACAGGGCAGGAGCTCAGGCTCCGCCCCACCCCCCCACGTCAGTTCAGGACTTCATGCAGCTTCAGTGCCCAGCAGTGACCATGGAGTGCCATTTGTGCGTTTCCTGTTAACCCTGTAGCCACGTGGACACACTGCCGCACAGCAGTTCCTGAGTGACATGGGGATGGCTCAACTTCCGTCCCTTGGTCTCCTGACCCCACTTTCTACGTGGAAGCCCCCCACCAGGGTTAGAGAGTCAGGTAGGCTTGCTCCATCCAGAATCAGCAGTGCACCTGGCGTGAGTCACATCAAGGGATGGTCTTGACTCAGGAGGTTGGGAACAAGGAATGGAACTTTTCTAGCTTCTTAAGAGTTTTGCACACGTTATTTAAGAGTTATGGAGACACCCCACAAAGCAAATGTATGGGCATGTGGTCTTTTCCTTGGGGAGTAGGGGGTAGAGGACGGAATAGGGTAGGCTAGGGGTCAAGTACTGGTCCAGAATAGAAAATTAAAATAGGGCAAGAGGATCTGAAAGGAGGTCTCAGGACCCCTGCTTCAGGCCTGCCTTTCAGGTCCTTCACCTGGTATGGAACGTTTTGTCAAAGATGTTGTGGCTAGTTTTCTCTCAGTAGAAAGAGGAGTTGGTAAACAAACCCCAGAAAAACTTGGAGAATAAAGAACACATTATATTATGTCAGTTGGGCCACCTAGTGGTCAGTCACCAAATCAGCAACTCTCCAAGTCCTAAGGAACCCTGACAAACACAGCAGGTGGGGTAGAGGTGAAGGGGCCAGCAGTTGGGGCTCCACGCACCTGGGATCAGACAGGTGATGCACTGTGCTCCACTGCGTTTGTCCCATCTCGACACGTGAGTCCCAGCATGCAGACTGGCCCCTGCGCTCCAGCTGCACGGCACCACCCGTGTCTGCAGGGCACTGCGGAGCAGCCTCGCTGTGGTCCCTCTGGAGGAATGAATGCTGGGCGGGAAAGCCCAGCACTGTTCGTGCTTAAGGACTTTGCGCTTCATACAGCCGCCCTGGCAGCTTGGGCTGGGCGCAGGAGTGTCCTCAAGGCCCATGTTGACCAGCTCGCGGGGTTCACAAGCACTCCCGAACTTGTCGTGTTGGCTGACCTGGCCTGCGCCAGCAAAGGCTCTGGTGGATGACGCTAGCTGGGTTGGAGGTCCGGAACAGCCCTGTGCCTCGGCCAGCCTCTCTTAATCTTCCATGGGAGATCACACTGTGGGACCACCTTCTGAGAACCTCAGCTCCCATGATTTCTTGTCGGAGGGGCGTCGAGAGGATCTGGTTCATAAGCTGAAAGGCGGTTCAGTGGAGGGTGCGCCCCTCGTGGCTGCTCTCCGCGGTGCTGAAGCAGCAGGAAGCACTCACGCGGTGCCTGCTCAGCCGCGCAGGAGCCTGCCAGGGCCTGGGCAGAAGCGCACAGAGACGCAGCCAGAGTGTTCACGCCTAGAAAAAAGCATGCAGGATGCCTCATTCATACAGCCAGTGACGTTGGCCTCTGGAGGTCATGGGACCCAGGAGCAGCTCCCTCAGGGAGTGTACTGAGTTGTGGGGACGTGCTCAGGAGCCGGCCGCTTTCCTTTGCCCCTCCTCTTATCCTGTCGCCTGGGGACAGTTCAGCACCCTCCCTCAAGAGCAGATCACAGGGCGGCCAGCGGTGGAAAACCCTGCCCAGCCCCTGGGAGATGTCCTCGGGTGCAGTGGCTCGTGCGTAGTCCATCAGACTGGCCTCATGCTCAGCCTTTTCACTCCGTATGGAGCAAGCTTGGAGGGTACCTGCTGGCCACATTGGGGTGACGAGAACCTCAAGATTGGTAATGGATTATAGCACATGAGAGGGGGAGGCAAATTCACAGATCCACAACTGAGCTTCACACAGTTAATTCCACAGAAAAATGCAGAAGGAACCATCGGAGATGGAAAATTACCACTTTATTGATTGGTTCAGGTGGGAATCATCAATATATGCAAATTCAGGAGACGAGGTCTTGATGCTACCTGCAAAGCTTCCTCCACAGATGACTAATTAATAACAGAGAAGTACCCTTTGGTGAAGAGACCTGGCAGATCATATCTGATAAGTGGTCAGACCCAGCACTCAGGCAAGTCGAACCAAGGACCATCCTGCAAAATTACCTGAACCTCTCCCAAATCTCTCTATGATGAAAGTTTCAACAACCTTCTAGGCTTAAACACGACAACCACGTGCTCCCAGGTTGGACCCTGGGTTAGCGGGGAGAAGCTACGAAGGACATTTTTAGGACATCAGGTGGGGAAGTGTGTGGACTGTGCCAGTCTTCAGCACATCGCCATGTGGTCTGGGTGGACGTTGACCCCAGTCCTGTGTTAGCTGCACACAGACAGGGAAGGCCTTGGGAACGTGGGCCAGGGACAGTGGGCGTCCTACCTCACCCAGAAACCCACTTTCAGAAGGAGGAAGGGACTTCAATGTGATGAGCAAAACTGGAAAATGTTTTGATTCTTAAAAGTCAGTGTTTTGGGGAAGTGTAGATAAATTCAGTGAGAACTTCAACAAAGATAAAAAACATAAAAATGGAAATGGGAATTATAAAAGGGAACCAGTCTGAAATGAAGAGCACATCTGAGATGAAAAGTACATTAAATGGAATAAACAAAGTGAATAAAGAAAAGGATCAAATGCCGTATCTAGAGGACGGGAAAGCCAAGGACACGCAATCAGAATGGCAAGAGATAAGGTCCCAAGACTATAAAAATAATTTAAGGAGGATATGGGACACTATTAAGGGTCCTATAAATATCTGTCTGATGGGCGTAACTGAAGAAGATCAAGATGTTGAACAGCTGTTTGAAAAAATAATGATGGAAAACTCTAACCTGGTGAAGGAAATGGACACAAAACCCCAGGAAGCTCAGAGAATTCCAAAAATCAGGGAAAAGAGGCTCACACCAAGACACGTAAAGTGCCAAAGATTAAATACAAAGAATATTAAAAGCAGCCAGAAAAAAAGATAATTACGTATAAGGGAACACCCATGAGACTGGCAGCTGATTTCTCAAAAGAACTATGCAGGACAGAAGGGCTTGGCAAAAAATTTTCGACAGGATGAAGACCCAGAATCTACAACCAAGGATACTTTATCCAGCAAAGCTGTCATTTAGAGTTGAAGGACAGATAAAGAGCTTCCCAGACAAAAATTAAAGGAATTTATCACCACCAAGCCAGTATTACAGGAAATGTTGGAGAGTCTTCTTTAAGAAGAAAAAACGTGTCAAAAACAGGAATAAAGAATGGTAACAACTACATTCCTATCAGTGAGAACTTCAAATGGAAAAGAACTCAGTGCTCCAACCAAAAGATAGAGTGGATGGATAGAAAGAAAGATAAGACCCTTACATGTTGCTTGTAAGAGACTCACTTCAGATTTAGACACACAGACTGAAAGGAAAGGGAGGGAAAAGACATTGCTGTGATGGACCTAGAAGGTAATATTTAAGTCAGACAGAGAAAGATAAACACTATACGATTTCACTTACATGCAGAATCTAAGGAATAAAAAGAACAAACTAATCAAAAACAGACTCACAAATATAGTGGACAGTTTGGTGACAGACGTAGGGGAGGAGAGTTTGGAGGCTGGGAGAACGGGGTGTAGGGTTAAAGAAGTGCAAATTAGCTGCTGGGTGGTCACGGGATGGGGAGCATGGCACAGGGAATGCAGTTAGCATTAATACGATGGACGGAGAAATTGGGATCGTTTTACGATCTATATAGATGTCTAAGCAATGTACTGTATACTTGAAACTAAGTAAGTAAAAAGCGTTATTGTGTAGTAAACCGTGTTTTAGGTGTGCAGTGTGATAGGTTTTGCTGTGTGTACACCCTCATGAACCCGTTACCGTAGTCAAAGTAGTTAATGTATCCATCGCCCGTTAAGTTTGAGTCTCCCTTTGTAGTCAGTCGTCCTGGCCCCACCCTCTGGCCCCAGGTCACCACTCACCTGCGTCCGTTATGGGATTAGTGTGCATCTTCGAGAGTTTCACATAAGAGAGTAGAGCCATCGTGTTCTTTTTTGAGCCTCACCCGTGTCCTGTGCATCCGTGGCCCCTCCTCTGCATTGCTCAGAAGCACCCCATGTGGGTGGGCCAGTGTCCACCCCCCGCCTGTTCACAGACATCGGGGTTGGTTCCAGGTCTCCGGCAGCCCGAACGAACAAAGCTGCTGTGAACTTCTTTGGAGACGCCTGTGTGGACGTTTCTTTCCTTTTCTCTTGAGTAAGCAACTAGGGGTGGAATGGCTGAATCAGACGTGGGTGGGCGGTCACGTCTAAGAAACTGCCGGACTGATTTCCCAGGTGGCCAGACCGTTTCACATTCCCGCCAGCAGGACCCGAGGGCTCCGACAGTTTGTGTCTTTCAAGAAATGTCTCCGTTTTATCTAAGGTATTGCAATTAGTGTAAACCTGTAAATAATGTTTTCCTGCTAGCAGTTTAATATTTGTGGAGTGTAGCTATGTCCCCTCATTCTTGATACTGGTCATTTGTGCCTTCCTCTTTTCCCTGCTCTGTCTGAATAGAGGTTTGTCAAAAATCCGAGTTCTTAAAGAACCAGTTTTTGGTCTCAGTAAATTTTGTTTGCTACTTCACGGATTTCTACTGTGATCTTTTATTTCTTCTTACTTTGGGTTTAATGTCCTATTTTCTTAAGATGGAAGCTGGGATCGTTGACCTGTCTTTTCTGCTACAGGCGTTCAGTACAATTGGAGTGGCATCTCACAAGTCCTGATACGTTGTTTGCATTTTCATTTAGTTCCACATGCTTTCCAGTCTTCCTTTTGATTTCTTCCTTTGATCCATGGTTGTTTTGAAGTGTATTATTTAGCTTCCAAATATCAGAATTTTTCAGAGCTCTACATTATTTATTTCTAATTGAATTCCACTGTCATCTGAGAACATACTTTATATAACGTGAGTCCCTTTAACTTTGTTGAGACCTGTTTTATGCCCGTCCTGGCAGATGCCCGTGCATGCTGGCGGAGGCCGTTCTGTTGAGAGAGGTCGCCCAAGCCCCCAGTCCCAGATGGATTTCTCTCTCCTGGCAGTTTTGCCTCATGTGTTTGAAGCCCTTGGTAGCTCCATAAACGTTTAGAATTATGTTCTCTTGATGAATCGAGGGCTTGTCACTGCAAAATGACTGCTAGATCTCTGGAGATTCCCTCTTCTGCATCCTGGGCCCACATGGCGTCCTATGCTCTGACATTGGTGTGGCCTTGTGACCTGTTTGTGTCTGAGGGGCGCCTGTCGCAGGCAGCGTGTGGGGTTGGTCTTTCTGTCTAATCTGAAACGTGTGCCTTCCTCAAATACCTTCGTTTTGGTTACGACATGGATGCTGTGGTGTAGGAAGTTGGTTGTGCGTGAGGGTTAGACTGGTGGAGTCGGCCGGTGTGTCACTCACGGCTGCAGGGCCTGTCAGCCGCCTACTGCACCTACGTTTAACGTTATTGACGGCGGGGTAGATTTGAGTCTCGTCTTGCTGGTGGTTTTTGTTTCATTTTATTCTTTTTTTGGCCGTCATTCGGATTAATCAAATACTTTCTTAAACTTCTTAGTGATTTTTCTCACGGTTAGCTCCTGTTGGCCAATTACCATCCCTCTCGTTACTCCAGTGGTTGAGTTAGGGCCTGTCAGTCACCCTCACCTGTCAGCCTCCCCTCAGGTGATGCTGGCACCTCACGTGGAGCAGCAGGACCTTACGAAGGCGTGTCCCCGTCTCTCCCATCCCAGCTGCGTGGTACTGTTGTGCATCTTACAAGCCCTGTGTTACGTGGTTTTTGTTGAAACAGTCATCTCTAACACGCGTGCTTCCGTTGTCCCCAGAGCTTGCCATCCCCGTGTGTGGGCCCAGACGTCCATGCAGTGTCACCGCCCTCTGTCCCTCAGGGGACCTAGTAGCCGTGCAGGGCTGCTGGTGATCGATTCCTCAGCTTTTACATCTGAAAACATCTCCGTTTGTCTGTGCTTTGCTGGGGCTTTTGTAGCCTGTACTCGAATCGATTGCCAACTTTCTCTGAGTGCTCAGAAGATGTCCCAGCACTGTGTTCCGTGCCGTGTTTCTGACGGGAAGTCACGGTCATCCTCTTTGTTGCTCTGTGCGTGGCATGTCCCCTGGCTGCTTCCAAGACGCTCCCTCTGTCACCGGTGGCGAGCGAGTGGAGCCTTGGGCGTTAGCGTGGTGTCTCTGGCTCTTGTGCTCGGGGCGTGTTGGGCTTCTTGGATCTGCGGCTTTATTTTCTCCTCCATCTACTCCGCTGTGACTTCTACCCCCTTCCTCCCTGCTCTTTCCTTGGGGCTCCAGGTACAGACGTGTCGGGGGTCTTAAAGTCGCCCCACAGCCGACTGAAGCTCTCGTTGGCTTTTTCAGTAGTTTCTTGTGCTGCGCCTTCAGGCTCACGAGTCTTATCTTCTGCAGTGTCTGACCTGCTGTTGACCCCACCCTGTGTCTGCACCCCAGCCGTTGCTGTGTCCAGCTCCCACAGTTAGATGTGGGTCTTCAACGTATGTCCCGTGCCATGCTGTTGGCTGACTGTGATGTGGAATAGTTATAATTTGTGATAACTGTTTCTGCCTTTCCCTGCTAATTCTGACATCTGAGTCGGCCTCTGTTGATCGACTTGTTCTCAGTTGGGATCACGTTTCTGCTGCTTTGCATCCCTGGTCATCTTTGGGTGCCGGACACTAAATTTTCCCCTCTCGCGTGCTGGGTATTCTACTATTGCTCAGATTCTTCCTCGGCCTGGTTATGGGGTGGGGTTGTTACTTTCACGAGTTCGGTTCCTGCCTTTCTGCCGACACTCTCGAGGCAGGACCGGGCAGGACTGGGCTGCACTGGGCAGTTCCTGCCTTTCAGGCATCGGTGGCATTCGTTGCTCCTTGGCCTGGAAACGGCATCTTTGCGTAGGTCCTGTGTTTTGTTTCCTCTTCTCGGTTGTTGCAGATGTGAGGGTAGATGGGGGGTCCCCGTTACTCCATCTTGGCTGGAAGTAGAAGCAACATAACATTGGAACTTTTAAAAGAAAGTACCATCCCCCTGTGACTTCGAGTACAGGATAGGTTTCTCACGTCAGGTACCAAAAAGCTTACTCATAAAGGAGAAGATTGATACGTTTATGTGTGTTCGAATTTAGCATCCCTTATCGAAAGACTCCGAAAGAAAATAAAAACATGGCATTAAATGAGAAGATATTCGTCTCACTTAAACTAGTGATACTTCTGGATCCAGAATTGATAAAGAACTGCTGTAAAATAGGGAGAAGCCATCTTGACAGAAAAAATTGGCAAAAGCACATGTAGCGGTGTCAGAGAAGAGGAAACGCGTACGGCTGGTAATAGGTGAGAAGGGTCCAGCGGAGAGGTGAGGGGGACGCCGGTGCAGCGTGGGGCTCGGCGTCAGAGCCGGCCGGCCGCCCTCGTCGGCAGCGGGGCGTTTGCCGTCCTGTGCGGGGAGACCGTGTGCACCCTGTGTTTCTGGGTGTGTCCGTGGGGCGGACAGACACGAACGGGAATTCCACGTGTCAGGATTCGCACCGGTGCGCACACGTAAGAACACGCTCAGCCGTTTGTGACAGGAGAGTCAGCCCTGAGCAGTGGGTGGCGGGGACGAGGCCAGCGCGGCGTGTCCTCTGAGCACAGCGTTGCTCAGCGTGCACGCTCGCTCGGTTAGAAGCGGGGAGACGCTGAGTCCCAGATTGTCCTTATCTGGGGCGCACAGGAGTTGGGGGGTGAAAGTCAGTGCGATTCTGAGGACCGTCAAGGTCTCGGAATGGCTACAGGCCTTTGCCACGTTACGCATCAGAACTTAGGTGTTAAATTTGTTCTCTTTAAGATATGGTTTTTTAAATGTTAAATTTTAAAATGAAAGGGCGTTGCTTTAATGGTAGCAAAAACTTACTGTAAAGCTAAACTGAAAACGCTCTGCGCTTTCGTATAGTCACGCACCACGTAACGACACGGGGACGTCCTGAGAAATGTTCTGTTTGGGGTTTCATCATCATTGTGGGAACATCGCAGAGTGACTAATGCAAACCTGTTGCTGTGGCCAACCGCACGGCTGGGCTTTGTGGTCCAGGCTGCTTCTCCAGGCTGCCAGCCCGCACAGCTCGGCGCTGAGTGCTGTAGGCTATTGTAACATACTGTGTCTACACAGGAAAAATAGTAAAAATACCGTAGAAAAGAGAAAAAGTCCTGAAAGCGGCTCTGGGTGAGGCAGTGAGTGAGGGGGAGTGCGTGTGACAGCCGAGGACACGCCTGAGCCCGACAGTACACTTTACTCACGCTGTGCACTCAAGCTGAACTAATGTGTAAAACGGAGCACAGGAGAAAGCGATGCCTTGAGAGGCGGCAGATGCGTGCCGCAGAGCCAGCGTGG